TCTCCTAAACTTTTTGGAAGCAGACTTTTTTGTATGGCTGAACACTTTAGAAATCTCTCTGAAAGGGTAAGACCAAACATTTACAGTAACTCCATCTTGTCCTGTTTATCATCGGAAGGCTCTTAATTGAAAGCTTCCACACATCCATTTGCTATCACTTGTTATCCATTTAGCATGCAATGTGTTGGATAAAGCTAGAAAGATCAGCTTGGGTAGAGACCTCTGTCACACTAAACACCAGAATTAAGAGGAAAGGTTTTTGAGGTTTTGATGATGAACACATCATAATGACAACTATAGTTGTCAGTAGGATAACGGATATTAGTAAAAAAGCTTCAGAGGTTGACGATACTGATCCTGATACTGAGTTGAACATGCCAGTCAGTGAGAGAAATATGGAGCTGAAAGCTTGAGTTAAGTGGCCATGGTAACAAAGAATGGGGGGCAGTCAATAGAAATTTGTCAATATTTGGTAGGTTATAAGGAAAAGCAGGATGGGCTAGAGAAGATGGGATATGATTTACTGCTATGGTGTAGAAAGACTACATTTAGTCTAGATGGGAAAGAGAAATGGGCGAATTAGCTATGGAAAGAAAACGGTTTAGAAAGTTGTCAAAGCGCTACAGAGGAAGAGAGGGAGGGAAATAATGCTGTCAGGAGAATTTGAGAAGTGGCCCATCAGTGCTTAGAAAGGTAGAAAATGTTTAAAAAAAAAAATATATGTAAGGATTTTAAAGAGTTAGTAGAGACTACTGTGTAAAAAGCAGAATTGGATGCAGACAACAAGATTTGGGGAAAAAAGCCTTTAATGTTAGATTCCTGGAACTACCAAATGGATTCAGTTCAGTGCCACACAGCCTTGCTTGGAAAGTGTTTAATTTGATTTTTTTTAGAGCAGTGGTACTTAGACTGGGCCAAAGTACAGAAGGATTCATAACAGGTTGTCAGGGGCTAGAAATAAACACTATGGCACGGAGTAAAATTACTCCTTTTAGCATTTACAAAGATTTTAGAGAGACACCAGCTAGCGCCTTACACAAGTTAGGAACTACATGTTAGGACCAGTTAGGACCTACTACAGCATATATAGAAACATACAGCATATATAAAGAGAATACTTCCTAAAAATCTAAAGTGGGCTGCTTAGAAAATCTGCCATTTGTAATATCAGATCTGTGCATTGAAGAGCTACCCTGAATTCCTTGTGTGAAAACTTTGGAGTAATGTTCAAGTGTCTTTGGTTTTTGAGTAGAGAGATGTTTGTGTTTCTCCTCATGAGCCTGTTGGGACACATCACTTCTATATTTCTATCTGGTGATTTTGGAAAGATTGGGACTACTATCATTCTGATAGCTATGGTGCCACCTGCCAAAATACAAAAAAGTGATGAAAACCTTGTCAAAAGTCAAAAGGCCTTTTGTCCTTAGTCACCTCCAGTCGAATAATCTGGGACGTGGTAATCTGATAATCAAGCATTGAATCCTACACACTGTATTGAGTTTACATAGAGTAATATGACCAATATATCAACAGTGTTCATGTTTACTTGTAAGATATCGCCTTGAGATATGTTTTTGTCTTTGAAATTTTGCTTTCAGGATCAAACGAAGTACTCCTCTCATGTCACCAGGTCGGTCCTGCTGATCTCAGAGAGGAACGCCCGCCATGTTTTTGGGGTTTTGCGGTATCTGGGGCGAACAGACGCGGCCCTTCCCCCCGGACTGCTGTCGTTCGCCGAGGGAGTGCATGTGGCCCGGGAACACCAGAAGTCAGATCGCCCCCTTTGCAGATACCTCAAAAGCTTTGGATTCTGCAGGTTGGATTTCCACCTCTGAATAATAGTGGACAGGGCTTTTTGTCCATGTTTTTTTTTCATTTTCTTTTAGATATTTGTTCAAATGATCTTTGTTGTTTGGTAAATCAGGTCCCATTTAGTCTACAATCCAAATTTTTGTGGAGAATGCAGAAAAATGAATTCCCTGTGTGGAAAGGCTTTTATCCCCTGTTCCACTGTCTCATTTGACAACATAAAGTTGGCTGTGAAAATAATTTTTGGCGATGACGACTATCTGCCACAAGAGGGCGACTCCGCCTTCTTAATCAAAAACACAGGCAAGGGTTAACGGCATTCAAACTCAGAGCAAAACCCAAGAAGAGCTGCAGGGACTGTGAATGACAAGGCCTGTACGAGGAACTAAAGACTGTGTGGTGAAAAATGGTTCGCAAATTATGTGGGTGGGCTACCTTTTAAGGGAATTAGTAGAAATTAAAGATGAAAATACTCCAGGACCTTTACGGTTTGGGGCTGGGAAACTTGTGCAATCCTCAAGAAAAGTGGCCATTCCTGCAGCAAAACAGAAACTAGATGCAAAAAGAGACTGAAGTGGTTCCAGCAGATATACAGATGCTTTTGAGCAGAACAGCGCTGAAGAGAGCAATTGCTGTTTTGGGCATTGCTCAGGTCGATGTTTGACCAACCTGTAAAACTCAAACTGCTTCACATATCCATCAAATACAAACCACTCTATAATTACAATTACGATTAAAAACAAACTTATCAGAAAGCTTAAATCCAAGGAAGTCACCCTGTAAATTCAATGCTTGGAAGACAACAGATACCGCAGCTTTTTGGAATTCAGTGATGCCTCAATGAAAAACCTCTCAGACGTGGACATGGTGGACACTTTAATGGCAATTTAAAGATTAAAACAAAAAAAGCGCTAGTCTTCCTTTCATAGGTTTTCTCCTTTTTTTCTTTGCACAGGTTTACTCTTACTGTTTATAAAATGTGGGAGTGCCCATATTAGGTTACTTTATGCGTTTTGAAGCATATTTATCTTCAATTTATATCTCCAGTTTTGACGTATTTTGTTGAAATGAATATCTAAAATGTAACTGTACACGTGAAATCGAAGGATTTAAAACTTTCCAGATATAACAGCGTCTACTATTTTCTTCCACAGAGACAGCAGTGTGTGTCCCGATCGTCATAAATTCAATTCCCAGCTGGACCAGTCTGTGCTCCCAGCTTCTGGAGTCATAGAAGTGAGAACATTTCTGTGTTAACTTTTCATTTGAAATCATATTTGTGTACTTCTAACACAGAATGCTTCATTACACAAGTGTTTGTCCAACGGAAACCACAACATGGATTGATAAATGGTTCCAAATTGATTAGGATGAGGATTATTAAAACACAATAAACATCTCCAAAGCTCTTATTCTCATCGTCAAATTCCTGTTTTACACAGTAAAGTGAAACACAGAAGGCTCCAACACTTCAACAGAATTTGAACATATTTGTGATTTGTCTCGATATCCACGTGTTTCCTAGGTTGTACCGGTCTACATTAAGACTGCATCCGTCTTTTATGGGCGTATAGCCAGAAAAGAGGACAAAGGTTTTGATGAGTTGACCTCTGAGATGGCTTCTTATTATGCTGAAAAAAGACCAGGAGCCAGAGAGCTGCTGGTTGGACGTCTTTACGCCGTGCAGGAGGACAAACTCACTCACAGGTTTGAACGGAAACCCGTCCACGTCTCTAAACTCATGACGTAATAACTCCAGGTCGTCAAGAAGCAAACACAGATATCATTTCCGATCAAACAATTTAACAAAACCGTTTCCTGAAATGAGCATTTTTAGCCCTTTTAGCAGTTTCTTTTACCAGCTTTTGGAAGCCAGAGTGCTTTAGTACATTTAATTTTAGAGCTCTGTATTAGCAAAAGGTTTCCCATCTTATTCAACTGAATTACACTGGAGTGCATTATCAAGCAGCTGTCCTTTTGTGTATATAATAGAATTAAAAACTTAATTCTGTGCAATTTGTTTCACTACAGAAGCTCCTCATTACTTGTGCAACTGACTTAATATGAATTTACGCATCATCAACGAGGCCAGTGGCCCCCACCTATTCTTCTCTCACCCCCCATCTACCCCACTAATTTACCCAATGCTACGTTCAACATTTTCTAGTCTGTCGTTGGACATTCAATATTTTATTTTGTTATTTATTATTATTTCTTTTATTTTATTCTATATTTTTATTTCTACATTGTATGTCCTTTCTTGTTTCTCATAGAAGTGTTGTGCACCAAACACCAAAGCAAATTCCTTGTAGGTGAAAAACCTACTTGGCAATAAACCTAATTCTGATTCTGATTAAATCTTTGTCAAAATCAGATTGGAACACATCAGAGACAAGTAAAGTAGGTGTGCATTAATACACGTTTATAGTCTAATGTGCAATTGGACGTTATGCTCTCTGGCAGGGTGAAGGTCCTCTCTCTGCCCGACAGCGTCGGCAGTCTGTTTTTCAGCGTCCTGGTTCGGTTTATCGACGTGGGGAAGGAAGAGGAAGTCAAATCTCATCAGATTCTTCAGCTGCCAGAACCCTTTCAGTCTCTGCCGGCTCAGGCTGTGGAAGTGATCGTGTGCCGGGTAAAACCGGTCCACGCCGAGACCGACTGGCACCCCAAGGTCTCTTCTCTATCTCCCTATTTGTTTCTATTTTTTTTTTAGAATATACAGTGGGGGAAATAAGTATTTGACACCTTGCTAATTTTGCAGGTTTGCCCACTTACAAAGAATGCTTATTTTTCCTCATCAGATGGTTATCAATTTTTATAAATTCATATGATGTGATTTTCTGGAATTTTCTTTGGGATTCTGTCTTTCACTGTTGGAATGTACATATGATTAAAGTTATAGATCGTTGCATTCTTTGTAAGTGGGCAAACCTGCAAAATCAGCAAGGGGTCAAATACTTATTTCCCCCACTGTATGTGTATGCAAGGTTTGTCCTGTTTGTTATTTTAGTTTTTTATTTTCGGGGATTGCTTTGATATCATTGACGAAATTATATCAAAGCAATCCCTGAAAATAAAAAACTTCAGATTAGATATTTTTTAAACTTTTTTTTAAAATTTCCAATAAAAATATAGATTAAGAAATTATTAAATGCGTAGGATCCCACTCCACAGTTTTAATTAGACCCGTTTTACCCCTCCACCACAACCCAGTACTTCTGGAAATGACCTCCACCTGCAAAATAAACCTATAGATGAGTCATAAACTTACCCGCGTGAACCTGGAAACAGACCTGTAAAAGAATTAAAATAAGTAAAGTCATGATAAATCACTTGCCTGGTGCCATGAACAAACCTGAAAAAGGTAAAAAGGGACTGAATACATTCACCTACATACATTCACTGATCCCAATTATTCAATCAGGGTCCGGGGCTGAGGAAAGCTCCTGAGGGAGGGTGGAGTTGTCACCCAAAAGTATTTGTAGGTGTGGAGAGTTTAGTAAGAAATGATGAGAAATCTGATGAAGTTTTCATATTTTCTTTTGGACTGCAGGTAATTAGAGCAATAAGCCTCAAGATCCGAGGTCTGCAGCATCGAGCCAAAGCCGTTTTCAGCCTGGGAAACACTGTTTTCGTTGATCCTATGGTGAGGTAGTTTTTTTCTTTGCATTTTCAAAACATTTGGCCTGATCATTACATCATCTAATACGCAACAATAATATTTATTACAATGATTCCACCTACAGAATACAATATTACATTTCAGTTTTTACTTTCC